TCCCCACAAATCCAGTTTGGCTTTAAATGCAGCTACTTTATCTGCCAACTTGAAGACAGTTGTCATTTTCCCCTGAAGTGACAGATTGAGTTCATTGAGCAGGCTGAATATGTCGCACAAGTAAGCCAGTTTTGGCGCTCAAGTGACCGAGATGTAACCGAGAGAATGCGGTCATTTTTCAAAATAAAAGATCATTCAGACTCGGATAATAAATAAAACGGAAATAATTAATGAGTTCTTGTGCGGCCCGGTACCAATTGATCCGGGGGCTGGGGACCACTTACTTACAGTATTTAACACTGTAAATAAACTAGCACTGCCTGCATCGAAGTCAGCCACCTGGGTCAGTCTGTTTTTTGTGACTCGCTCACTTCTGTGTTCGAGCCATCCTAACATTTTACTTGTAGCTTATTGTTCATTTCCAATATTAATTTTGTGGAAAACACCAGCCAGTTCCCCATCTACTCTCCAGGTTAGCTAGCTGGAGCTCATGCTAAAGTCGACAGTAGCGTCAGCTCTGAACAAAACTACCGTAGTAGCGGAAAATCGAGGGTATTGTGATTTGGTGTTTTTTTTTTTTTTTTTTTTGTACTGGCGGAAACGGCCTTCCATACATAACAGATGCCAGCAAGTTAACCATAATTTGGAACCAGCTACAAATACAGAGAGACCGCACCAATCTCATGGACCAACAGTCAGATCCAACCCGTTCACCAAATACCGACACTCTCCTGTCAAATCCTTGGGCCTCAGCTGATGCCACTTTAAATGCATTTTGGTCTGAAACGGAGTTAATCTTAACACAACATTTACAAATTAGACCTTGTATGAAAGCCCCGCGTCTCCTGATTCTAACCGTGCAACGCATTTTAGGATTTCCACATCACTGCAACAGTTTTTTGTAATTTTGTAGAAGCTTATGTTGCACCCGGTACTTTTAACCACGCTAACTCAGAGACGAAGCAGTCAAAGTACAGTGCCTTGCGAAAGTATTCGGCCCCCTTGAACTTTGCGACCTTTTGCCACATTTCAGGCTTCAAACATAAAGATATAAAACTGTAATT